CCAGACTGGCATATATTAAAAACTTTAGAAATCTTAGACAGCATTTATGTAACCTCTCCTCCCCCTTTTTTTAAATAAGAAAAGATATTAAAATATATATTTAAAAACGCCTAAATTAGGGAGTGATTCATAGTGTAATATTAGAATTCTTTTAAGTACTTCTTTGATAGGCCTCTATCTTTGTGCATTAAGTATTTTTTATGGAGTAAGAAACTTGAGAAATGATTTAAAGAGTGGGGTAGTTTGCAAAAGTACAAAACTAGAAGAGTAGGAACAATTGTTAATTGAAGATGGTTTTGTAAAACAGTTTCTGTGACTTTGAGGTTAAAGTGTTATTTTGGACTGAGCTTTTCACGGTTTAACTTATAAAATATTGAGCAAACCTCTTAATTTTATATTATATTGTATATCTTTCCTGAACAACATAAACTGACTTACAACTTTATGCAGTTTACATAAATTGCAGTTTCTTCTACAATTTAGACTTTTGTAATATTTGGAGGTTAATAGTTGTCATTGAAGTAAGTCTTTGGGAAATGTAAAATATGAATATGCTTATTTTTATTTTCCATGGCTTTTTGGTAGTAGGGGTATACAGAGGTGATTGGAAAATAAACCTTGTGTGCATTGTTCAAAAATGGGAATGAGAATCTGTTCCAAATTCCCTGTCTGGTAAGATAACCCACTGTAGAGTATATTGAGAGGTGGTGATGGGTTGATATACAGCAATTGCAAATAGGCCCATGATTGGTTTAAATCATTTTACTGTATAATATGTCCCTCCAGTTTAACCCACTTCCTTGGTAGAAAGTTTCTTTTCATTGCATACTGTATTCCTTTCAGGTTGGCAAACAATAAAACTACACAGCAGTTTACTATCCAGTAGCCCTGCCTCTCTGAGCTAGACTGACTGCCTATATCTCTAATTGCTGAGTAAAGGAAGTTCTCAATAATGGCTTTAGCTGTATGACAGATTACTCTGGCTATATTTATTTTAAGAAATCAGCTGCTGAAGAAAAGTTTTAACTTTATTGATATAATTCCACATATATTTAGGATAGACTTTACAAATTGGGGACAGATTTTTAAAAATACTATGAAGCATGCTGAACTGTTACTTATACAGGAAGAACAAGATAGTACCTCAAATATTTTTTATTGTTTGATTCTTCTGTGGGATATTCATCTCATCTGAACCTTAGTTTTACATTAGTGCATTGCATACAGTTCCTTCCTAGTTTTTCTCAGCACTTATTTTATTTAGGTCAGTCACGTGTGAGATCAGGGTGGTGACATATCAGATCACCTGTAAGGTT